GGGGGGGGGTCGCCAAAATACCGGCTCTTATATTTCGAAAAGCTTAAATCAGTTTCTATGAGATCTCAGGCCCAGCTATTCCCATGTCTCATAACTGGCCCATCTAACAAAGGCAAGAGTCTCCCAACCAAAAAATGGACATCTATCTGATAAGGATGTGCACCACCTTCTTCCATGCTAACATTAGCTGAAAAGGCAACAAATGTTTCCAGGACAGACAGGGATGTATCTGGTTCATGTATACAACTGGCATCTTAATCAGACTGAATGGCCGTACATAAAATACGTCCGGCATGTCGCAGGGATTAATATGAAAGGCCTTCATTTTGCTAATCAAAACAAGTCTTGCCAATTATAATGAGACGACCCCAGAGGCATGAGGGAAGTGAGAGAAATACTGTCAGTGGGTCAGCAGAGCAAAGATAATTAACTTGTGATTAACACTTTCATCTTTTTTTTGGCAGTTAACATTTTAAGATGAACAACCCCAACCCGCCCCACCCCCCTTCCATTCCTCCCTGCTCCCCAATTTTCAACCCCCTCAGTTCTTATGTATTTGCGGATCTATCTTTGCTGCCCTTTGTTGGATGTCCCGGGAAGTTGATACCTTTCTTTGCAGATGCAGATTTAGAAGACTCATCAGTACTCTGAAAAGACTGCGATGTTGCACTTTTTCTGGATCCAGGCAGACCTATTACCAAGACAAATGAGATAAAATGACTAAAATAAAATGTTGTACAAATATTTAGAGGCCAAATGATCCAAAAGATTGCAAAGGGCGGATACCAAGTTAAGGTACTTAAAGAGTAACCTCACTCTTATCTTTCAAATGACAACAAAGTCACCTTTGGAAATGTTTAGTAATGACAATCTACAAACAGATACTTCTAGATATATGCAGGATTTGTATTTCTTGCATACCTGATTTCTCTTTTCTTCCCCATTCTTACAGTGGCCATTTTTACTAAGGGCAGGTTATTAGCTCTCCCTTTACTTCCTGGAACTCCAATGCATGTGACTAGGACATGTGACCATGCTCATCATCTCAGGGGGAGGAAAATGTCTTTCACTGAGATTTCATGAGATTACAGACGAGATTTCCCAGCAATGCTCTGCTGATGTAACCTTCCCGGGATGCAACGCTTGGGCACAGATTACATCACTAACGCCTATGAGGACCGGGAAGTTGAAAAACAGTAATTGTAAGTAAAAGAAAAATGTTTATTTAACTAATGAATGTAAGATGATTTCATATCAGCCTGCAGAGCTGAATGCTGATGTGATTTTCAGTGAAAGGGGGTAAAGGTCCACTTTAAGGCCTCAATCACACTGTCATATAATCCGCTGCGCAAAGATGCGCACAGCGTTTTCCCCCCATATGTAGCATATGCAAATTAATGGCTCCATAGCTGTGCATGGAGCCTTATTTTTGCACTGCGTAAAGATGTGCAAAAAAAAAACGGAACTGAGAAGCGTCCAGGCTCGGAATTTCTGTGCATTTTACATATACGTACATACACGCGTACAGTGCAATAAAGTTTCTATTAAAAATTATGCATTCTATTGCAGAGTTCACACATATACGCGCAAACATACGCACATATACACCTCTATACACATTTACAAATATGCGTACAATTTTGATTGTGTTGTGTGTGAATGAGGCCTTAGAATAGTTGCATTTGAAAACAAAATAATATTGCAATTTATAAGTACCTTTTTTTTCTTAAAAAATAAATGTCCAGAGGCATGGGGCACACTTACGGCGTGGTGTTTGCATGCTGCACCCCTGTATTTCTATGGATTGCCCTCCAATCCAAAAACATACTTGGGAAATTTATCAAAACTGGAGCAGACAAAATCTGGAGCAGTTGCCCAGGGCAACCAATCAGCTTCTTTCTTCAGATTGTTCAGTTAAAGGAGAACTACGGGGTCAGGGCTTTTCCCCATAGTTCTCCTTAGGGTAACGGGAGGACACAAACTAGCGTCCTCCCGTCACCCTAGGCTCAGTATACCGCAAGCTGCTGCTCGCTGTATACTGAGACGCCGCAGCTGAAGCGGATCCCGACAATTATGCAATGATCCACCCAGATGCGTGACTGACAGCTGGCTCAGCCTATCTAGAGGCAGAGCCAGCTGTACCCGCCCCCTCCCCCGTCCGTTCCGCCAGTCAGCGCTGGCAGATCGGAGCGGGGAGGGGGAATCCAGCCCCTCCCCTGTCACGGCAGAGAGCCGTGACAGGATCGAGAGGTGACCGAACGCCGGTATGTGTTCGCTCACCTCCCGATCTACTGAGCCGACCTGTGACAGTCTCATTGTCACAGGTCGGCTAGAACTATGAGGTGAGTGAAAAGCACTCACCTCATAGTTCTCCTTTAAGCTTTGAAAATGAAAGGTGGATGCCGATTGGTTGCCATGCACAGTTGCTCCAAATTTTGTGTGCTCCGGTTTGAATAAATTCCCCTCAGTGTCAGATTTATGACTTTTGACCAAACCAGAGTCAAGTCCCGGGGTTGGCAGGCTTTACATTCATATACAAGTCTATGGGAATGCAAAATGCTGTTGAAGCAGGACAAAGGCACCTGTCAATGAAGTCTGAAAGATCTCAGAAGCGTCTCAACCTGATGTCAACATGATGCCGTCTACACGAGCCTGAAATCCATCAGAAGCCCCTAAAATGTGCTACAAAACCAGAGACTTGAACTTTAGAGAGCCTCTGGGGTAGCAGCTGATCTCAGCCGCTCTTTGTATTACACTTTGCATTATGTCAGCGCTATATAAACATTGAAAATATAAATAAATAGTAATAATTGCATTTGACAAGGGTAACGCCGTGCACGCTACGGGCGCCGCTCGTGGGGTCCAGTGCCTGGCAGGCAACATTAATGAGGAAAGCTGAATATTCCACGGGGCATAATAAGTACAAAACCCGGAGATGTGCCATGGCAGGTAACAATTAACAAGATAAATATGAGGCTTCACAAGCGACTCAAGGGTAATAATTACCTATATCTAGAAAATTATCCATATATATGTCATGCTTCAGCCATGAAACCCTAACAATGACAAACTACATCATAACAGGAATAAATATAGAAAATCAAATTAATTACGACGGGAAACAAAATATAAAACAAGACATAAAATGTATCTCTAGTGAGACCCTGACATTAAAAATGATTAACAGAATCTGCGGCATTAAAGCTGAACTCCGGCCTTCCCTTCAGTCTTATATCTGATCCCCCGGCCTTCCCTACAGTCTTCTATCTGATCTCCGGCCTTCCCTACAGTCTTATATATGATCTCCGGCCTTCCCTTCAGTCTTATAATTGAACTCCGGCCTTCCCTTCAGTCTTATATCTGACCTCCGGCCTTCCCTTCAGTCTTATATCTGATCTCCGGCGTCCCTTCAGTCTTATATCTGACCTCCGGCCTTCCCTTCAGTCTTATGTATGACCTCCAGCCTTCCCTTCAGTCTTATGTATGACCTCCAGCCTTCCCTTCAGTCTTATATCTGAACTCCGAACTTCCCTTCAGTCTTATATCTGAACTCCGAACTTCCCTTCAGTCTTATATCTGATCTCCGGCCTTCCCTTCAGTCTTATATCTGAACTCCTGCCTTCCTTTCAGTCTTATATCTGAACTCCGGCCTTCCCTTCAGCCTTATGTATGACCTCCAGCCTTCCCTTCAGTCTTATATCTGAACTCCGGCCTTCCCTTCAGTCTTATATCTGAACTCCGGCCTTCCCTTCAGTCTTATATCTGATCTCCGGCCTTCCCTTCAGTCTTATATCTGATCTCCGGCCTTCTCTTCAGTCTTATATCTGAACTCCAAACTTCCCTTTAGTCTTGCAGTGGTACGGGCTCTGCTCCTGAACTGAAATGGCTTACTCTGATTTCACTGTACAAGTATGTGCAGCTTGTCACATAGTGGTGGAGGAAGCAGTGCTGGATCTGTGTATAAGGTGACAGTGTGTGTCTTGTTAGATAGTGGAGGAGGAAGCGGTGCTAGATCAGTAATCTGAGAAGCATAAAGACCCAAATGATGATTTCACGAGATCTAGAAAAAAAAAAGTATGTAATAAAAACAGAAGGTTTTTATTTTAACTTCCAAAAATGCTGTGATTCTGGAATACTTACACTTGCAGAACATTCACTTCCTGATTTGAAAGGGCAAAAAGACTTCAGTTTATCAAAGCAATGCACGCTGGGATTGTCTTATCAGCAGAGCATTGCTGGGGAATCTCATCTGTAATCTCATGATATCAGGGAAAGGCATTTTCCTCCCCTGAGATGATGTGCATGGTCACATGTCCTAGTCACATGTGCCACAAATCCAGGAAGTAAGAGGCAAGCTAGTAATCTGCACTTAGTAAACATGGCCACTGTCAGAATACTGGGGAAGAAAAGAGAAATAAGGAATGCAAAGAATACAAAGCCGGCAATTATCTAGAAGTATGTGTCTGTAGATTGTCATTACTAAACATTTCTTAGGCTAGGTTCCCACCTAGGTGATTCAGATGCGGAGCTGTTTTCGATCGCGCGACTGTTCATTGTAAACTGCGACAACCGCCTGAAAATAGCTTCTGCACCTTTTCGCGCGACAGCCGATTTCGGTAGCGCGACAAACCACAAAGGTGTGAACAGCCTCCATTGACTTCAATGCGAATATGTGTTTTGCGCGTCTCAAATCGGGCGATAAAATCGCCTAGGTGTGCCCCGGGCCTAAAGGTGTGTTTGTTGTTATTTTAAAGATATGGTTAAAGGTCCACTTTACGTATTTACACACTCAAAGCACGTGGTATAAACTCTTTTTTAGTTTAAACAAGTCTTCATTTACCTCTGTAGTTGTAGGCAATGTGGAAAAATTCACAACAAAGGCACTGAAATCTCAGCTTTCTATTACTTTGTATTGCAAGAGAACCAAGACAGCCTGCCGGTCCTCTAAGGTAAACACATGGCAAATGTTGACAGCCTGCCGGCCCTCTAATGTAAACACCCGACAGATCTTGGCAGCCTGCCGGCCCTTTTATGTAAACACACGGCAGATCTTGGCAGCCTACCGGCCCTCTAATGTAAGCACACGGTAGTTCTTGGCAGCCTGCCGGCCCTCTAATGTAAACACACGGCAGATCTTGGCAGCCTGCCGGCCCTCTAATGTAAACACACGGCAGATCTTGGCAGCCTGCCGGCCCTCTAATGTAAACACGCGGCAGATCTTGGCAGCCTGCCGGCCCTCTAATGTAAGCACACGGAAAATGTTTCTCAGACTTCAGTGTCTTTGTTGTGACCTTTAGCATCTTTAAGAACTAATTACTTCACAGTACAAACAGCTAGAGAGCTCAGCAGGGACTTGTTTTAAAAGCTCCTTTGCTGCTTGTTAAGAATATGTGCCCATAGTCTTAACTGGGGGATGCCTATAGTCTTAACAGAAGTATTTTTTAAAGCTTATGTTTTATTCTACTTATATTTTGCTTTTCCCATTTCCCTTACCCCCCTCCCCCATAATAACATCCCAAACCAAGGATGTAACAAAATCTTTTCATCTACATTACATACCATTGATGACATCCCTGACCCTTTGTGCTTCTCTATGCAATGCAGGCAGATCGTGCTAAATAGTTCTGGATGTCCTACAGCCAGGAAAATGAGGCGGCCTCTATCTGACCGGCAGAGGCTTCTAATGCACAATGTGAGAAATTCACAGTATGCAGGGAAAGCAGAGTAAGAAACGTCGGCACAGGAGAGAAGCCAGTACAACTAAGCAGACTGAAGAAAAGTATCCCTGTCACAAGCTGTGAGGCGTACAGAAAGCACAATCAATCTTTTCTTTCTTCTTCCCCGGAGTTCAGCTTTAAGACGCACAATACTGTAATGATTCTCAGATCAGACTTACCTGTGTTGATTTTAGAGGTTACACGGCTCAGGTCGATCTTTGTGGGAGATTTGGGAGACGCATGCGTTTTTACAGATGAACTTCTGATAAAAGTTCTCATTGTTTCATTCGCCCGTCTGATCTTAGACAGCGGTGCAAATATACCTGAGGACAGTACAAGGCACTTATAGAGGATCCACTTATGAACACAAATTAGAAACATGAAGTTTATACAATTACCACAAATAATTAAAGTGGAACTGAATCCGCATGTCCCAACATAATGTACAAGTATGTGCACCTTGCCACATAGTGGAGGAGGAAGTAGTGCTGGATCAGTAATTGTTGTATAAGGTGACAGTGTGTGTCTTGTTTAATAGTGGAGGAGGAAGTAGTGCTGGATCAGTAATATGTGTATAGGGTGACAGTGTGTGTCTTATCAGACAGTGAAGGAAGAAGCAGTGTATGGATCGGTAATCTGTGTATAAAGTGACAGTGTGTGTCTTATCAGATAGTGGAGGAGGAAGCAGTGCTGGATCAGTAATCTGTGTATAAGGTGACAGTATGTGTCTTGTTTGATAGTGGTGGAGGAAGCAGTGCTGGATCAATAATCTGTATATAAGAAAACAGCGTGCGTGTTTCAGACAGTGAAGGAGGAAGAAGTGCTAGACCTGTGAGCTGTATATAAGGTAACAGTGGGTGCCTATTCAGATAATGAAGGAGGAAGTACAGCTGGATCAGTAAGCTGTATATAAGGTGGCTGTGCATGTGTTTTGTTAGATAGTGGAGGAGTAAGTAGTGCTGAATCAGTGAGCTGTATGAAAGGCATTAGTGTGCGCTTTGTCAGATAGTGGAGGAGGAAGTAATGCTAGATTAGTAAGCTGTATATCAGGTGACAGTCTGTGTCTTGTCAGATAGTGGAGGAGGAAGAAGTGCTGCATCAGTAATCTGTATATAAGACATGTACGCTTTAAGAAGCACTACATAAAGCTCTTACCGTGTTTTGGCTGGCACTTAAAATACTCTACTCCACCCACACTCCCGTCGTTCTTCCCTTCAGATTCATCCATCTCAATGCCGGCCCACTGGCCGGTGGCAAACTGCGTAGGTCCGCAGAACTTTAGCGTGCCCACCTAGGAAAGAAAAGCAACAGCACTAAGCTGAAGTGAAGACCATTACCCAAGGTCAGCCCGCTGCAGCAGCGTACGAGGGAACAGTTCATTATTTGTTATTAGAATTCAGCAATGCTAAATGAAAGAATAACAGCTCCGCATATTGCACAGACATTATTCAACTTCTTTTTTCTCATGAGAACTTCTGTATTTGCCATAAACCTTCTTTTAATCACGCAGTTTTAAAAGGAAACTATCATGGTTTGGAGTCAGTTTTATTATATTATTATACAGTATATATCCAGGTTAGAGCAGACCTTGCCTCGGATATTCATGCACATTACGTAATATGTCAGTGTAACAGTCTAGGAACAGAGATCCCAGTGCTCCCCCTGACAATGCTTTTCTCTACAGAAGGATGATGCCATCTTTGTTTGGCTATCATCTAGACCAGGGGTAACCAAACTCCGGCCCTCCAGCTGTGGTGAAACTACAAATCCCATGATGCATCTCTGTCCGGGAGTCATGTCTGTGGCTGTGAGTATCTTGCAATGCCTCATGGGATTTGTAGTTCCACCACAGCTGGAGGGCCGGAGTTTGGCTACCCCTGATCTAGGGTCACCATCTTCTTCCTGGACTAAAGCTGGGTATACATGGTTAGATTTTCTTCATTCAACCTGCGGGCTAAACGAATAAATTATTAGGGCTGTAAACAACGAATCGATTAATCGATAATGAGAATAGTCGTCAATAATTCTCATTAATTGATTCGTTGGTGTACTTCTCTCCGCCGCGCTGGGAGCCAGTGTTTCATCGGCTCTGTGTCCCCTCCTATCCTTGCTGGTCCCAGCGGGGATCGGAGGGGACACAGACCCCTGCAGCAGGTGCCCAGCAGTGAGCAGAGCTCCCATAAACCTCCCTCCTCCTGTTTATTCCCCTGATATTTCCCCAAAGCCCCAACAGTATAAAAAACAAAAACAAACCTAAAAATAAAATTTTAAAATAATTACAATTTCTCTCGCAAATTGCAAGCACTCGTTGGTCAGCATGTTCACTTGACCGCACTGGCCAATGAGGAGAGGCGTGCTTCTTCGCACGAATCAATATGGTTTTGTTTAAAATGATTTTTTGTATCATGACAAGTAGATTAGGTCCCCCGCTTTAGTCCATGGACAAGTAGTTTTTTTTTTAAATGTCCATACCCCTGCAGCGACACGATCACCAGTGTGCCATTGCCCATAGAGTCACATGTTCTGTTGGCACATTTATGGATCATATATGACTGCAAAGAAGCTGGAAAATCTCAGCTAGAATCAAATAAGTATAAACAATGACCAGGCCCATCATAATCTTTTCCTTTTTACCTCATTACCTGGCAATACCAGAAATTGCTCACAACAACCAGAACCTGTGCACAGTCCCCCCGTAGCATCTAAAGCAATGCAAAGCTGGGTTGAACGGCAAACATGCGGCTTGCATACTGGCCCGCGTTAGTCTGCAGCCTCATATGGATCAAGAAGAGAACTGCTTTTCAGAAAAATTCACTCGGCAGGCAACAGAGCCCCCTGCTGGTTCATTCTGGGCAATGCCGACTAAAGCCGATTACAATCGCTCTGCACAATATTTACTGGACCGCTTCATTTCATCTCAATCATCCTCCACTTTAATTGCCTCGACAAATTATGCATCATCTGCCGCAAGATATGATAAAGACCAGAAATATCACGCTATAATCTGCGTGTCAGCCAGTGACATGTTAATTGCTGTGAGTTTGAGAAAACACATCAATCACCAAACAAGCAAAGCAAAAAGACAATCCGTGCATGTAAATAGGTGCCGGAATCAAAGGGCAGGTCTGGTAAAGTGCGGGTGCAGTATGGGAAACTAGAGAGGGGCACATATTTGGAGCTCGGTGAAAACACAATATTTGATCTCCTATATTTTGGCCTTTTTATTGAACCCTTATACAATAGCCTCCTTGTGCACTATAATGGTAAGTCATTGTTGATTTAGGTGGTAAAGCAGACCACAGCCATAGTAAAAAGTCTGTTCCCTGCCGTCATACTGCAGACCCGGACTCCTGTGCTCAGGCAGCAGTGGGCTCTCTGCTGAGATCTGACATACCCCCTGTAATGCAAAAATAAAGTCCTCCACCGTGATGGAACCGTGAGCGCTGACGGATGTCAGACTGCATTAGAGTGATGATGCTTATGCACAGAACGCAACCATCCAGCTCTGCAGCAGGATGGCGGGGGACAGACTTTTCACTATAGATGTAAGCTGCTGTACCATCTATGTGAACAGTAAGACATGGCTCACTGACCGTTATAGTGCACAAGGAAGCTATTGTACAAGATGTCCATAAACAGGGCAAAATATTGTCCTGAAAAGAGGCAAGGTATGGCATAAGGAGAAACAATATTGTGTTGTCACCTACTACAAATACGCCCCTCTTTAAAAAGAACTATAGCCAAACCTTTTTTGGATTCAGTTCTCTTTTGGGTCACAGGAGGACATTTCCTAATGTCCGCCTGTGACCCATAATCAGCATCTAGCGGGCATAAATCCCTCTACATGCCGACAGCAAAATTGTCAGGCTCTACCCCGCTGCCTGATTGACAGCGGACTCTGCCTTTCTAGAGCCAGAGCCTGCTGTGCCCGCCCCCTCACCTGGAGGAACAAAGAGAGGGGAGAGAGGAATCCCTGCAGGGAGAAGCCGTGAGCTGAGCAAATCAGCGGTTTGTGATTGTTCAGTTCTCGAGCTATATTGTCAGCATGTGACACGCTCTAGCTCAATCTATTGGGAAGAGTACATTTTACTCTCTCAGTAGTTCCCCTTTTAGTTTACTATAATGCAACTGCTCACTTATCGTGCACACAGAAGCTATTGTCACACTTATACGCGGGATCAATCGGGTTTTAAGGGCTTATTGACCATGGCAATACTGGGTTTGTTTCACTCCTGGAGATATCAAGCTCTTATAAATAGGCCATTTGGGAGGTTCGTCAACCCTGCCTGTAACCGAGACTTACGGTAAAACAAGAAGGATGCGAACTGTCTTACAGATGAAGGCAGTTCAAGGGTTAATCACCGGCTGGGATAAATAGAAATAGATAGATACATTCAAGTATCAAAACCCCAAATAACCAACAGACTTTATAAATATAAGAGATACATGTACAGCCAATCAAGGGCACATTTATCCATCCCACCACCGATCAAAGTCAGTTTGACTAGACATCGTTTTTAATTATTTCACAGTAAACGGTCAGCCGTGTGTCCAGCAATGTTCTATGTATGTTTTTGATTAGAAATAAATATGATTTTTCTTTAAAAATCTGACATTGTGGTTTGTCCCAGCCGGTGATTAGCCCTTGAACTGCCTTCATCTGTAAGACAGTTCGCATCCTTCTTGTTTTACCTTATTGACCATGGCACAGAGCCCTGTACAAGCAGGCCCTTGCTTATGTGCCCAGGAATCACAGGTGTTCCATGCAGCCGCAGCCAGCAAGCCTGTTAAAGATGAAATGACGTGCTGACACATGAAGCGGCAGTACGGATCTTCCAGCGCAGACTGTCATGGATTTTTAACGGGCTGTTGGTTCCAGCTGCACAAAACATTTATGGCTTTTAGAGGCATCAACAAGGGCCTTCTGCATGCTGTCCCGAGCTCTGTGCCTGTGTGAATGAGCCCTAACAGCTTATAAAGGCCTGACATACAATAGCTGTGATATTGAAGTGAAAATGTGAATCTTTAGGGAAGTGTAAAAAGGGGAAGATAAAGTATAATCTAAAAACTTTTTTCCCCATTTTAAACAGAATAGAAAATGGTAAAAATCCCATATAATTCCTTTATGGCCATCCGTATCCCATTGGTGAGCATTCCCTTCACTTTTGATCCTGTAGACACAAGTAGAACGAGGATGACAAACACCCCAAAGTGAGGAAAATTCCCTCTTCGTTGTCACCAGAATGAATGTACCCATTGCAAGATTTCTGGTTGCAACTCAAAATTTCAAGTTTCGTTCACTTTCAGAGCTTGGGACAATCGTCAGCAGGACATATACAGAGAGAGTAAATCCCCTTAGCAGGGGCACAGACAGCAATAAAATACAAGAGCAAAACCCATCACCACTTTACTCAAAACTCTAAAAATGTTTTGGCTTTAGATATACTTAAAGGAATGTAAAGGGAATCGCGATCCAGACAGAACGGTCACCACTCAACCTCTCCCCCTTCCCTGTTTAAAACAAAATGCATGGCTTCCGCACACATGTTCATTAGAAAAACATGGCAAGGGCAGCAGGGTTGGTTTTAATTCTTTTTTATACTTATTTTATTATTTTTTTACTTTATTTTATTTTTTTTCACTTAACTATTGCCATCACAAAGGGCCCCTAAGTGACAGCATGTGGAGGTAACAAGTTCTATTTATGGAGACATCTGGGGTCTGTTAGACCTCTGATGTCTTTGCTGTCCTCCAATATAGACCATCAAGGAGAGGAATGTGATTGATCTTCTGTTTACCTGGCACTTCAGACGGCTTCTGACAACTGAAGTAGGAAGCATTGAGAGCACAGTCCTGCATGCTTCAGTGAGCGCAGAGGAGATTGGGGAATGGACATTGCCCGGCCTGCTCTCCGCTCTATCCTGACACTGCTTGCCATGGTCCTGGGCTCTCCACAGGTCCCTCCTCTGCTTGGTGGGTGGGTACAAAAGCCAGCATGCTTTTGGCTATTGCAATTTGAAATAGGCAATAGCAGGCTGGCTACTGAAACCCCGCCCTATGAGCAGAGGAGCATAGATGAGAGAGAAAGTTCTCTTATCCACTCCTCTGCTCAGTGGGCGGGCACAATAGCTAGCCTGCTCATTGGCTATTGCTCCCCATTTTTTATATTCTGCTGCAGACTGCGGAATCTAGACTCCGGCCTGCAGCAGAATGTAAACAAACTATTTCCTTAGCAACTAATTAATTTAGTTGCTAATTAAAATTTTTTTTAGTGTGCACCAAGCAACCAACACTTTTTAAATGTGTATCAAGCCACTAGCAGGAAAAAAATAAAGAAATCAAGGACATGTTATGTTCACAATTTTAGTTGCTGGTTGCTTGAGTGCCGGCTGCTTGAAAGCCAGAAAAATGGGGAGTTAACTGTATTTACACAGTAAAGTTTGGCGGGGAAAAAAAAGGCCTCACTGACCTCACCTAGCTACAGGCAACGTGGAGAAATTCATCCTCAAATAAAAAAAACAAATGAACAGACTGCAATAAAATAAAAGTCCTAACCCCTCACCACTTTATTCAAAACTTTGAAAACGTTTTGGCTTAGAAGGTAATGTATAGTTCATTTTGTACCTGTTTTCTTTATTAAGGGCCAGGCAAAATAATATTAAAATATTTTTGTCAGGTAAAAATGAAAAACTGCATTTTAATATTCAGCATTCTTCTTTTTAGCCAGAAGAAGGAGCTTTAGGATTTGTTTCACATGTTATCTGCCGCCTACTTACCATTTACTGTAAAAAGCCCTATTGACAGAGTTCAATAGCTCAAGCTGACTTTTACACACACAGGTGATATAGGACAGCGAGTTATCCCTTATTGGATGACTGCGGCCAAAGTTTCAGTTTCATAAGGCAGGCTGCTTCTACTGTGCTGTCTGTTTAGCCAAGTCATGGAGCTCTGGGAACCCATATACACTCACCGGCCACTTTATTAGGTAGACCTATTCAATTGCTTGGTAACACAAATTGCTAATCAGCCAATCACATTGCAGCAACTCAATACATCTAGGCATCTAGACGTGGTGGAGACGACTTGCTGAAGTTCAAACCGAGCATCAGAATGGGGAAGAAAGGGGATTTAGGTGACTTTGAACGTGGCATAGATGTTGGTGCCAGACGGGCTGATCTGAGTATTCCAGAAACTGCTGATCTACTGGGATTTTCACGCACAACCATCTCTCAGGTTTACAGAGAATGGTCCGAAAAAGAGAAGATATCCAGTGAGCGGCAGTTGTGGATGAAAATGCCTTGTTGATGTCATAGGTCAGAGGAGAATGGGCAGACTGGTTGAAGATGATAGGCAACAGTAACTCAAGTAACCACTCGTTACATCCGAGGTCTGCAGAATACCATCTCTGAACGCACAACACGTCCAACCTTTAAACAGAAGGGCTAGAGCAGCAGAAGACCGCACCGGGTGCCACTTCTGTCAGCTAAGAGCAGGAAACAGAGACTACAATTCACACAGGCTCACCAAAACTGGACACTAGAAGATTGGAAAAACGTTGCCTGGTGTGATGAGTCTCGATTTCAGCTGCGACATTCAGATGGTCGGGTCCGAATTTGGCATAAACAACATGAAAGCATGGATCCATCCTTCCTTGTAGCAACGGTTTAGTCTGGCGGTGGTGGTGCAATGGTGTGGGGGATATTTTCTTGGCACACTTTGACATGATAGCATCATGGGCCCAATATGGACCAAAATCTCTGATGAATGTTTCCAACACCTTGTTGAATCTATGTCATGAAGAGTTAAGGTAGTTCTGAAGGCAAAAGGGGGTCCAACCCGGTACTAGCAAGGTGTACCCAATAAAGTGGCCGGTGAGTGTATGTATATGCCCAGATGCATTACAGATCTAAAACATCAGTTTACAAAACGTATAAACCTTAAAAAAATGAGATACAAACTAACCCAAAGCAATTAAATGTCAACAAAATATATGCAGAATAGAGGTTTTTGGCATCTGTTGTAGAGATATGCAGAAAATTGTCATCAAAGCATAGCAGCGTCATTAAGCAGAGATTACCTTCTGCCCAGCGATGAGCACTCTGTCTCCGAGCTTTAGCCCAGCTGACCAGCGTGGTGGGAGCCTGAGCACGCCATCAGAGTTCGGGAGGACAACTGATGAGAAATCACGCGACAAGGGCATGGCGTCCAGTAAAAGCTGCTTGATTTCTTTTGCTACAGCAGCGGCATCAGCCATCTCCAGAGGCATATCGACGGGATCGGGGACAACATCTGCTGGTGTGCGTCCTTTATCGTCCTGCGCAGACACAAACAATTTCCACCAATGAACAAGAGTACGTGGCTGGTGCAGTATGAATCAGATTTGTATGTTGTCTGCGCTGCATTTGCGCTCACCCACTATTGCGGCACATCAGTGTAGTGCTAACCTCTAATGAGAACAAATGCACATCACAGACTAGAAATGCATCTCGAGCCCTCACTGACCTCTACTAACTACAATCACCGTGGAGGAATTCAGTCTCAAAGTTCACAGCAGATATATTCAAGTTTCTTCTCTCTGCAGCTCAGCATCCACTGCTCCGAGGAGGAGGAGTGATTAAGCAGCTCAGCTGTCCTCTGCTCTTCCCTCCACACAGTGATTAGGCAGCTCAGCACACCACTCCCAGCAGTGACTTAGTAGCCTTCCAAGCTTGCGAATCTTTAATGTAAACCCAAAGCCTGTGCTCTGGCAGGGTAAGAGCAGGGTGAGTCAATGCTGGGAGGGGGAGCAGGGGGAGCTTAGGTGCGGAGAGTGCCACCTACAGGACTTCTGCTGTGAGCTGAGTGTGAATTATTCCACAGTGCTTACATATACATAGGACAGTTAGAGCTTCTTTTAAACATTAATCAGTTGTTAAAAATGTGTCAATACTTCAATGGGCATAGGCTGGCAATGGTACATTTTAAGATTTTATAGATGGGCAACATCTATTTTCTCTGCCCAACAATTCTGGGTGTGATGGATAGCATGCCTCTGCTGCGATTGTAGTGATGTTGCGGTTTCCACGCGATTTTTGAAAGGGCATTTTTAATCGCGTTTCAGCACTGAAACTCAATTAAAAATCGCCCAAAAACAAGCTGATCAGCGAGTTTCCATTAAAGTCTATATGGAAAATGCGCTGATCAACGCTGAAAAAGTAGCTCAGGGAGCAGTCTCGGCGGCAGTTGGACGGAAACATGCGATTGCGCACATTTGTGTGAACGGCCCCCATAGGAATAAATGTGTTTTTTTACTGTTGGCGGTTCAGCACAGAAAAATCTGCGCAACCGAACCTCCCTGGTGTAAACGGTGCCTCAGAAGATAATACCCTGAATTTCGACCCTCTCCTGCTGAAACAGCTAACATTTGACCCGTGGGTGGCCCTGCTGGCTCCATCTGACTTGGCAGCACCTGGCTTTTTCAATCAACTTATGTTGAAGAAGTCAGGTGACAAATTGTCGGCCGAATAGCGACTGCGGTCATTCAGCTGCAGTGGCCGCTTAGGTATCCTGACTGCCATCGGTACCAGCTGTCAAAATCCAAAAGCCACCAGGGAGAGTCCTCCATCCATGTTTTTTAGCCCATGGGGATGAACAAGTAAAATCTTGTCCAGCTTTACAATGTTAAAATTGCCAAAGTCAGAACTTCATTTCTGAATACTCTTCCAGCACAGAATGCATTGAGAGAGAAAAAACACACAGACAATAGTAAAAGGTGATTTCCTGCTCATGTTTCCTGTTGACTAGAACACTGGCATGAAGATTTAGTATTTGGTCACGCACTATAGAAAAACCACAGAACACACATTTACTGTTCTGCCTGAGGTGACAAGATATCAGCACGGCATAAGGTGGAATGTTAGAAACTAACTTCGTCTGATTTCGGAATCAGGTGAAAGCGTTTATTACATTTTTACTCCATGGAGCTGGGGAAAAAAACAAACATAATCTTTATACAGAACCACCTTCCGGTTTGATTATCACTCCTTTAAAAGGAGAACTATGGGGTCAGGGCTTTTCCCCATAGTTCTTCTTAGGGTAACGGGAGGACACAAACTAGCATCCTCCCGTCACCCTAAGCTCAGTATACCGCGAGCTACTGCTCGCGGTATACTGAGACGCCGCAGCTGAAGCGGATCCCGACAATTATGTCTGGATCCGCCCAGCTGCGCGAGTGACAGCTGGCTCTGCCTATCTAGATTTAAAGCCAGCTGTACCCGCACCCTCCTCCGTCCGATCCGCCAGTCAGCAATCTCCTGTAAGGCCAGGCCAGCGTGGTAACCACCAAGGAGTGTGTCCATGACGCCCTCCGCTCACAGGTACTGGTTGACTTTGACTGGTGCTGGACCCCGGAGCGGTGGCAAAAGATGCATTTGCTAAGTGCTAAAAGAAAAATCCTAGAATTGGACTCTAAGGTTTGTTTAAGAGTCGCACATTTCCAGGACACCTTAAAACAAAACAAAAAGCCTATACATTTGGCCCAATGTGTAAAAATGTAGGTTTGCCTTCCTGCACCGGGAGACAAGAGGAAAAGAGAACAGGTGCGAATGAACCTTGGGACCTCCGGGAGAAAAACTGGGATCATCCCACTTCCTCACTCTACACAACACATACAGCCAGAGGAACAAATTCTTCTCAGTTCAGGAAGGAGAGGGGAGAGAAAACATCATGTGGACACAAAGGTGAAACTTCATGTTTATATTGTTCATGTGAGATCCTTACCGGCCGTGAAGCTGTTTCGGTGTTGCCACCCAACAACCAGCACGAGAAAGTTGCTGCTTGTTGAACTTCAGACTACTGCCCAACTACCATGCCATTGCATAAGGACTAAGTCTCCTGCTGGCAGTTACCTCATTAGAATACTAAAAGTGCTGTCGATTAACCCTTTCATGACTGGAGGTCATTGAAACCTAGAAGCCCAGGCCAAGATTAGCCATATCAGCACGTGTTAATAATTCGATGACTAATTTTCATACCCATGCCATTTTATATTGTTATATAAGGCTTTCATTTGATAAACCAGCCTCTGTTTTTATTATAGGCTGACAAATGCACACAAATGTAAAATCTAATTTTTGAAAAAATGTATTATTTTTAATAATGCAACTGTATCCAACAGTTACACTGCTAAACAGATGGCAATGCACATGAACACTGAGCCTGATGGTGGCAGGATTTATCTGCTGGCATCATTTTTTTTCTCTCTTTTCTCAGTGAAGCCCACAGCCTGCATGTGATCACTGTCAGGGTGATTAGATAATGAGGAACCCTCTGACTGGCTCCCAGTTATCAGTAAGCATCCCAGCTGTTATTAACAGCCAGGATCTACAGCCAAGAGCAGCACGTAGTGTTCGCTGCTGGCTCTCTAAAGCTGCCCATACACCTTACAATTATCTGCAGATTTTCTGTGGTCAGATGGAAAAGGTGCAACAGATTCCTCCATCTACGCTAAACTGTGTGGATGGAGTAATCTCCACCCGGGCCAATCTGTTGCACTTTTTCCATCTGACTACAGAAAATCTGCAGATAATTGTAAGGTGTGTGGGCACCTTAAGGAAGGGACATTTTTAAAGGTGCCCATACACTGCACGATTATCGTACGATAATCATATGCGATCGGTTTTTCGTACGATAATCGAGCAGTGTGAACGGAGACGTGCGACCGTTTCTACTGTACGGTCGCACGTCTTCTGTCGAACCAGCATGTTCGAAAACCAGCCGGGAATCGTACGATTCTCGGCTGGTTAGAACGGTGCTCGGAAGACAAATGCTGAACGGGCCGGTGTGCGCACGCGCACAATGCCCGTTCAGCATTGCGGTCATCGGAAGCCCGCCCCTCAGGGGGGCGGGCTTGCGATGATCGAGAGTACGATCTGCCTGTCCAAGATGGGCAGAACGTACGTTTTTTTTAATCCCTGTACAACCATCGCAAGACTAAAGTCTTGCGATGGTTGTAGAGTGTATGGCCACCTTTAGTCCTGGAAGTTGTGAGGTTTTCCGGCACACCCCACAGATGCTTGATTGGATTGAGATCTGGAGAATTTGGAGGCCAACACCTCAAACTGGATGTTGTGTTCCACAAACCATTCTAGAACCATTTTTGCAGTGTGGCAGGGCACATTATCCTGTTAAAAGAGGACACTGCCTTCAGGGAATACCCTTGCTTTGAAGGGGAGTACATGGTCAGCATTAGGGATGCACCGATACCGGTATTTCAGTATCAAGTACGAGTACCGATATATTTTTTCCGGTACTCACCGATACCCAAAATCCCATTAAGGAATCCAGGCGGGGTGTAATGACTCGCCACCTGGCGTCCCAATTAGCAGGGAAGCCGTCCGCATGCTTCTCATCACTATGTGACGAGTAAGCCAATCAAGAAGCTTGGCACCATTTAATGAAGAGGCGCCCGGCTTCCTGATTGGCCGCAAAGCCGGCTCCATGCTCCCTCATCATGAGGGGACGAGGGAGCATGGAGCCGGCTTCCCAACCAATCAGGAAGACGGGCAGTGTGTCATTACATGGCGTGTAATGACACGCTGCCCGGCTTCCTGATACAGGAAGTATCGGGCTAGGCATCGGAGCATTTGGGCGAGTACTCGTACTCGCCCAAATACTCGGCTTTGGCGCATCCCTAGTCAGCATCAATGTTTCAGTAGGTGGTACGTGTCAAAATAACCTCCACATGAATGGCAGGACCCAAGGTTTCCCAACAGAACATTGCCCAAAGCAAGTCACTTCACCTCTCAGTGGTCATAATGTATATATGATGCTAGGTCCGCTTTAAAGGAGAACTATGGGGTTAAGCCTTTTCCCCATAGTTCTCCTTAGGGTAACGGGAGGACACAAACTAGCGTCCTCCCGTCACCCTAGGCTCAGTATACCGCGAGCTGCTGCTCGCGGTATAATGAGACGCCGCAGCTGAAGCGGAGCCCAACAATTCTGCCGGGATCCGCCCAGCTGCGTGACTGACAGCTGGCTCTGCCTATCTAGAGGCAGAGCCAGCTGTACCCGCCCCCTCCTCCGTCCATTCCGCCAGTCAGCTCACCTCCCGATCGGATAGAACTATGAGGTGAGTGAAAAGCACTCACCTCATAGTTCTCCTTTAAGATTTGAGCATTCAAGGTTCAAGTGTAAACTTGGAGGACTGAACGATACTCTGTACAAATAAAATCTATAAGTGTGCCCACGATAAACATGAGACTGCTAAATAAACCGCTCCGGGTTCTCTGCACGCAGGGTACGATTCCTCCTAAAGGACAAGTTATCGGGAAGTCAGGAGATAAAACTCTTGGCTGTAACATTAGCCATTCCAGCTCTGTGCTCTCTTACCCGGAAGGCAGGATTAGCTCTGTTCTCCAGCAGGGCTCTCGCGGCTCCCAAGCAGAGGTTTGAAGCGGCAATGTGCAGCGCCGTCCCGAAATCAAAGTCACTACAGGTGGCATCCACATCTGAAAGAAGCAGAAGAGTCACAGCGGGGCTGTAGGGCACAGAGCCACGCTTTCTGAGGAGATTTCACTTTTATAGCTTCACACAGAAAAATACAACATTCATTGCAGGTGGAAAAATCACGCAGGGAGACTTAACCGGTCACAGCGGCCATAAGCGTATAACTTTCCTCCACGAAATGCAAACATGCTGAGAGCTAAACATTGAGGCATGCAAGTGGAATCACAGAATTACTCAACAGTTAAAGCTGAAGTCCGGCCTTCCTTTCAGTCTTGCACAGTTGTACCGGCTCCTCTCCTGGACTGAAATGTCTTCCACTGATTTCTCTGCACACTGTGAGCTTCTCACCATGTACATTAGAAGCTGCAGCAAGTCAGAAAGAGCTTGCCCCAAGACTCAATGAATGTTAGAACTCCTATCCAATAAATGAAAGCGGTGGGCCAAGGACAGTCAGGCTGGAGGTGAAAGCGATAGATGATGCTGGACGTCCTCCAACCAGGAAATGAGGCGGGCTCTATCTGACTTGCTGCAGCTTCTAATACACATTCTGAGAAGCTCACAGTGTGCAGTGATATCAGAGTAAACACTATCAGTCTAGGAGAGGAGCCGGTACCACTATGCAAGACTGAAGATATGGCTGGAGTTCAGCGTTATCTTTCTCCAACGCTGTGTAACAGCCAAGCTACGGTGCCTGCCATACCGAATCAGCGCCCTCACGCTGCTCAATCTGCCAGGAAAGCAGATTCTCTAAAAGTTGAAATTTGCACAGGGTTAAGCAAGCTACCCACCATGTGAAAGCTCCGCTTGGGCACCAGAGGGACTGTCATGTGTTTGGGAGTCTCAGTTTTTTAATAGGACTACAGTAGCAGTGTGGGTGATGGGCCAGGGCCTGTCTAAGCCGATCTGCATATAATAGCATCTCATGAGCAAAGGAAGATGCTTTCGTCAGGATTAACATATGCAGATATAGATACTGACACTGACAAATACTGACACTGTGCTCAGTGCTGGATTTAGTTGGGAAGCTGCACAGTGTATTTCCTGCAATTAGCAATCAGCATAGTCCATGGCTTTATGGCTACCTGGTCTGGCCATGGGCTGAAAGCGCAGAGGCCTGCAGTGCTGTGGTGTCCCATGGGTGCCAGAAATCACTATGGGTTGGGGACCCCACTGTGTTTCATACAATAGGCACTAGGACACGGCATTCAAAAGCTTTTTCTGCACCACGTTTCTTGGGTAGGCCTTATGGCTACCATGGAGCATTTTTTTTATAGTGGCCGGAAAGCCCGCCTTGTCTAGCACTGGCACTTATTAATGCATTTTTTACGCACATTTTCACCCCCACAGAAAACGAAGGGTGTGGGTGCCTTCGGGCCCGCCCTGATGTTGGGGGGAGAGGTTCTGTGGCCTTCACAGGTCTTTTTACCTCTCCCCAATCAGGGGTCTCTCTTTGGGAGAACCCTCACCAAGTACTTGGTGGACCAGCGTCAGCCCTAAGGATCGGGGTCTGTCTGGCTCCAGCCTAGGTGGACCAGGGTTACCTTGGCCCTGTCAGGAATCTGGCACCCAGTGGGGGCGGTTTGCAGGTTCAAAGGAGAACCAATAGCACTATCGTGCACTTTTTTTAGTGTGTTGTGATTTCACCATTCACTTTTTTTGCTCAGGGAAGTTTGTCTATGATGCATGCACTGTACAAAAAACAAAACTGTCTTCATGGCAACCATCCTCGACAAAAGTTTATTATAGGGTTTTTTTTTTTAAATTATTTACCTTCTTTCTGGCCCATTAATAGCCCGCTTACCTTTTGGCTTAGAAGCTTTCAGAATAACGTGTATTAACTCTGGAACATCAAAGTATGCCGCATAGTGCAGCGCGTTCATGTTGGTCCAGCGGCTTCTTAGGCTTATATCTGCCCCGATGTCAATCAGGTAGGACGCAAACTTGGCAGCGGTCTCTGCATCCCCTGTGTGAGGAGACCACACGTGTCACAGAACGGCCGGTAACAACACTGAGCCCTGCAAACTGGCACCATCTCCTCCATTTACAGAACGGACAATCACCCAATGTGCAGATCAGGAAGTATGGTTTTTGACAAACAACTATATACACACACACCGGTGAAATACTTATATATGAGCTGTTTTAACTACCAAAGGATTTGTATTGCTGTCCACCCTTTCCTGAGATTTACACAGTCCTGTCACACCGCACAGCTCTGTCTAGCAGGGCAGGAGACCAGATTTTATTTCTGCAGCTAAGTAACACTTACAGGTCTTGTCCTGACCCCACCGTGTGACTGGAACGTGAAAGGAGAAGTAGCAGACTGATGAGCTCATCTCTCTACCACTCCTATCAGCATGCCCTTTGCACTGCAGCACAACTTATTGGTTCCTTGTGTTGCTTCTCTCTCCCCCAAACTGAGCTCTGCTGCACATGGATTATAGGAGGCTGATGCCAAGTCCAATTTAGGTACTTATACTGCTTGCATTTAAAGCAGAACTCCAGGCAAATGAAATCTTAACCCTTGCAGTGGGGCTACCCCCTTCACTGCAAGTGTTAAGTGCTTGTTTTGTCTAGGGAGCTAAAAGAAAAACAGTTATACTCACCCGAACCACAATCCTGACTTTTTCTTAGACCGCTCCCTTCTTCCTTGCTCCCTGTGCTTCAGCTGTCTGAGGTCATGTGAGCCACCATGTCCAATACACTGTGTATAAGACATGAGGACGCCGGACATACCATCGCTGGAGTGGAGGAGACAGGCTGTAGGGTGCGGTGTAAGAGCAAGCCGGGCTCGTGGTTTGGGCGAGTACAGCTTTGATATTTTAGCTCCCTAGACAAAGTGAGTGCTTAACCCTTGCAATGCTGGGGTAGCAGCACTGAAAGGGTTAAGATTTTATTTGCCCGGAGCTCTGCTTTAAAATACAAAACAAACTTGAAGCTGAACTCCAGGAATGCTGCATTGGTCTGGAGCTACTACAGTGCTGGTTGTGAGCTTCCAGGTCTTCCTGTGCTGTGTGGCTTCCCCTGCGCTCGGAAAACGCAGGGGGTTGCTCGCTCGGCACAATGACCATGCAGAGAATCAATGTATACAAGGCGTTGGCCTTGCCAAGAGAGGCTTGCTCCACATTGCAAGGATTAAATATTCGTTTGTCTAGGTTACCATTAAAAAAGCACTTTTACTTACCTTATCCCTTGCTCCCCTAGCAGCCAGAGCTCTCCCCTTCCCTCCAACACTCCGAGTCATAGGTGGGCCATCAGCTCACAATGCAGGACTGTTGGTCCTGCATTGTACTTGATGACATAAGAGCCCAACTGACTGACAAAACGCCAAAGAGAAACAGCTTCGGAGGGGTGTGGGGGGCTTTGAATAGAAGCAGTGAAGGATAAGGCGAGTAAAGCGGCTTTTAATGTTCAGCAAAAATGAACAATTAACCTTTACAGTATGGGGGCGGCCCCACTGCAAGGGCAGTCTTATTTCCCCCGAGTTCAGCTTTAAATATACTTGGCCTGGGCCAAAAAAAAAAAGTCACACACTGATATTTTGCTGGACCGTCTTTAGCTTTGATTACGGCACGCATTCCCCGTGGCATCGTTTCGATAAGCTTACGCAACGTCACAACATTTATTCCCATTCAGAGTTGCATTCATTTTTCACCAAGATCTTGTAGTGATGATGGGAGAGTCAGGCCTCTGTGTAAAGTCTTCTCCAGCACATCCCAAAGATTCTCAATGGGGTTAAGGTCTGGACTCTGTGGTGGCCAATCCATGTGCGACTATGATGTCTCATGCTCCCTGAACCACTCTTTCACAATCTGAGCCCGATGAATCCTGATATTGTCATCTTGGAATATTCCAAATGTGCCATCAGAGAAGAAAAGAGCCATTGATGGAAAAATCTGATCATTCAGTATATTTAGGTCGGCATCTGACCTCGTTTTTCAGGCACATAACGTTGCTGAACCTAGACCTATTATCCAATGGAAGGCTCTGACCCATCTGCTTAGCTAAAGCCAGGTGGTGACTTTTTTGGCCAGGCAGTGTATCCGTCACAAGCAAACAGAAAACACTATACACCAGTAGAATTTGGCTTGATAACATTTGTTTTTAGAGCGTTTGTTCAGTTTTCGAATAGTTATTTGGGTTAAATGGGCATTCCATTCTCTCCATAGTGACGAGGAAAATCCAAGGAGCAGGACGGAAATTGCTTCTCGTTTCTTATCTGAACAAAAAAAAATTCTAACCACGAATGTAATTTTCAGGCACGAAAGACTGTACACATTAGGCTAGGCACAAAACAAACCGGTTTGATTCCTCTGGGATTCCATTCAGGCGGCACGTCTGGATAAGGGCTTTCTGAAGGGCTTTTGAGGAAATTAGTTGCTTCAATGATGACGAGATCAAATTCTCTGATGAACAATTTTGAACGAATGTTCAAACGTAATTCTAACAGTGTATGGCCAGCTACATGAATGGCAGCATAAGAAAATGTTCTCACCAATTCCCTGGGCCCCGGACTTGCAGGTGTAATGTAGAAGAGTCATGTCCGTCAGCCCATCCCGGTCATTGACGTTACAACCTCTCTTCAAAATCTGCAAAGTAACAATGAGAGAAGTGAATCAGGAGTCAGGAAACCCAGGTCCAGCAACATTACTCCCAAACTTCCAGAACCATCATAGTGCCATTGAAGCCAATACTTTTTTTTAGTTTTGGATAGAGTGGAGAGGGATTAGAAGACCTGTCAGGATTGTATTGCTGTCTGTGTCCCCCGTTAGGGAGATTCTCCCTCTCTATTATCACTGAAAGAGAATCCCAAATGTTGGGCTGTCACTAGAAAAAGAATAGATGGGAAATCTAATGTGGACAGTTCTGGTGACCCTGCTGACCACCAGGGATTTCCTTTCACTTCCTGTTGTGACAGGAAGTGAAATCTCTCCAATGGGACACAAATGGCAAGAATAAAAAAAAAAAAAAAGCTGATAGGGGTTATAACCCTCCCTTACTCTATCCATAATAAAAAGTTTTGGCTTCAGTTCTACTTTAAGATCAGATCATATCTATACCCTAACCAGAATAACACATGAGACAGATCGCCTGTGGCAGCTGCGGGAAAGAGAATCCAAGCAGCACTTGAGACACACACACATCACAGGCAAGTTTTAATTTATTTTCAGATGGACCCGATCGGATGCTCAATGAGAGTCTACGGGCAGCCAGCGCTAAACGGATGGGCGCCATTTACATCTGGTTGCCCCGACTCCGGCCAGGTCCTGAAAAACAAACGGAACAGTGTTCCCTTTTGCTGGACCTGATGAAGCCGGATCGGGGGTGATCTGGTGTAAACGGACACATGTCCATTTACATCCCATTCCTCATAGACTGACATGGGGTCTGGTCATTTCTATTTCATCTTGCGATGGAGGAAAAGACTGGACAGATACAGATGTCACAGCGATGACATCAGATCCATACCACCTGATGTCTGGGATCTGTGCACGGATCCCCTCCTGACCCGACAGTATGGAAGGGGCCCTATTTAAAACCAATGGCCATTCATTTTTGAGCACAAGATATATATATATTTTACACACACACAGATATATAGATATATATATATAGATATAGATATATATATAGATATATATATATATATTTATTTATTAAGGTGCCCAGTTCTCTGCATCCTCTACAACAAAATAAATGGGGAATCATTTGGGTCCCATCTGCAGATTGGCATAGGAGTTCTGTACCAGACAGATGAGTTTATATTTACTTTCAATGGTAACAGAGCTAAATAGGAAAGTGATTTTAAGCTGAACTCCGGCCTTCCCTCCAGTCTTGCACCTTTGTACCGGCTCCTCTCCTGTACTAAACTATCTTATTCTGATTTTACTCACAATGTGCATAAGAAGCTGCAACAAGTGAGATAGAACCGGCCTGGCTGGAGAACATCCAGCATCGTCTAGTCCTTCCTCCCCAGCCCGACAGTCCCTGGACAACCCATTCTTTCAATGATGGACTTTGAAAATCACATGTGATCATTATTATCTAATGCAGTCTACATGCAGCCGCAGCCTGCCCAGGACTGGCAGCTTCAGCTTTCAAACCTTTTCATTTCATCGTTTTCTGCTCTTTGCACAGCAATAGCACAATGTAGCGTAAACAACATAAGAAAATAAGATAATAGACATTACCTCGCTCCCAATGACATCTATGCTCTGCTGAACCTGAGGGACCCATTGCCTTAATATAGCGAAGAGCTCGGAGACTGTGGTGCTTGGGTCAAATAAGATATCCTGGCAGGAGGCATCATTCGGGTCAAAAAAGGAGAATTCTGTGAAAGAAAAAGAAAAACGTGTACATGATGAGTAAAGTCTCATTCCAACAATAAGAGGATTACAATTTATTTACAGTTTATTCTTATGTACATAAAAAAAAATGGAATTAGGGCTGTAACCAACTAATCGATTACAATCGATAATGAGAATCGTTGTCAACGATCCCAATTATTGATTAGTTGGTTGGATTCCCTAGTTCTGTCCTGTGCGCTGGGAGCCGGTGTTTCATCGGCTCTGTGTCCCTTCTGATCCCCGCTGCTCCCAGCAGTTTTCTGCAGCAGCTGCCCAGCGGTGATGAGAGCTCCCCTAAACCTCAGTCCTCAGTCTGTTTTTCTATTTTAAAAGGAAAAAGTAATGTCGTGAGTTCCAGTGCGCTGCGATTGCATGCGCATGCAGTTTTATTCTGCCGTAAATTGATGTTTCTAAAGGTGGCCATACACTGTACAACCATCGCAAGACCTTAGTCTTGCGACGGTTGTAAATTGATTAAAAAAACGTACGATCTGCCTATCTTGGACAGGCAGATCGCACTCTTGATCATCGCAAGCCCGCCCCCCTGAGGGGCGGGCTTCCGATGACCGCAATGCTGAACGGGCAGTGTGCGCGTGCGCACACCGGCCCGTTCGGCATTTGTCTCCCGAGCACCGTTCAAACCAGCCGAAAATCGTACGATTTTCGGCTGGTTTTCTAGCGTGCTCCTTAGACAAAAGACGTGCGACCGTACAGTAGAAACGGACGCACGTCTTCGTTCACATTGCTCGATTCTCGTACGATCGCGGTATTTCCTGCGGTTCTCGTACGAGAATCGAGCAGTGTATGGGCACCTTAACACTGCATTTCATTTTAAATAAGAATGGGGCTTTTTTGGGTTTTTTATCTGATTTAATTTATCGAAAAATTTATTGATTATGAAAATAATTGTTCTTTGCAGCCCCAAATAGAAGTACAGTTAATCCAAACCCAACAGCAAAAACGTAAATTGTTGGCGCTATATAAATGCCTGTATTAAATAATCTCCTGAATAGGGACACATAAAGCAAAACCTGACAACGACTTAACCCTTTCGCTGCCAAGGACGTATGGCATACGGACCTACAAAAGTGCTTCCAGCTGGCCAGGTCAGTATACCAGCCGACCTGTGACAATATAGCGGTCACAGATCGACTCTATAGATTGGAAAGTGAGCAAACACATACCGTCGCTCGCTCACTCGATCATCTCCCTGCAGAGAGCGGTGACTGTCAGTCACGGCTCCCCGCAAGGATTTACCCCCCCTCCCCTGTCCGATCCTCCAGCGCTGACTGGGGGAACGGAAGGTGAAGGGGGCGGGCACTGCTGGCTCTGCCTTTAGCCAGCTGGGTGGATCTCGACACTATTGTCGGGATCCGTCCCGGCTGCGGCGATCTCAGTATATAACGAGCTGTAGCCCGCTATATACTGAGCTTTGGGTCACGGGAGGACGTAACAATATGTACTCCCGTGACCCTAAAGAGAACTATGGGATAAAAAGGTTACCTCATAGTTCTCTTTTAAATTCCCGCACTATATCCAAAACAACAGAAAACAAATTGGGTTTAAATATTCTTCAAGTTGGTGAGAATTCTCCTGACAGAGACCCCACAATATAATACAAAGGCTCCCCAGACTCACCGCAGTCGGACGGCATGGGTGCTGCAGCCACGGAGAACGTGACTGGGTGACCGGGGTCCAGATAACAAGCCTGAAAGCCGCGCTCGTTCGGATGGGAGCGTCCGTCAACGTACCCGACCGTCAGGTCCTCAATGGTCATTTTTCAGACGCACCACCTGCAGGAAATAAAACGCGGAGAGCCTCAGCAATCCAACAACAAAACAACAGAACAGAGCGACGTCGTCTTTGTACAGTCCGGCTCTGGAGGTAAACCGATGCCGGCCGACGCACAACGCCTCCTCCGCTTCCGCTGTGCCGTACCCTTGTCGCTGGCCTTACTCGGTTTCCAAAAGGAACATGGAAACCGCACAGCAAACCCCTCACCTCTGACCTCCTCCACTTCCTCACAACATATGTGACCTCGGATATTATTTTGGGGTCGGGATATTCTTTAGCAAGCGCCAAGCATAGTTGGAATGCTTCCTTGGGCGTTCTATTCTTTTTAAGGGTCGAGGGAAATAACTAGGGAAGCCTACAATGGTCATTTCCAGAAGCCAAACATAGCACTGCGTGGAGGTCACATGTTATCCCCTCGCCGGTGCTCTGATATTCCCAAAGATGACAATTAATGAAAGCGGACCTGCAGGCAGGTATAAAAGACACTGATGGACGTGGTTCTGTCTTCATTAAAGGAGAACTATGGGGTCAGGGCTTATCCCCATAGTTCTCCTTAGGGTAACGGGAGGACACAAACTAGCGTCCTCCCGTCACCCTAGGCTCAGTATACCGCGAGCTGCTGCTCGCTGTATACTGACGCCGCAGCTGAAGCGGATCCCGACAATTATGCCGGGATCCGCCCAGCTGCGTGAGTGACAGCTGGCTCTGCCTATATATAGGCAGAGCCAGCTGTATCCGCCCCCTCCGTCTGTTCCGCCAGTCAGCGCTGGCGGGGCGGAGCGGAGCGGGGAGAGGGGAATCCAGCCCCACCCCTGTCACGGCAGAGAGCCGTGACAGGATCGAGAGGTGAGCGAACGCCGGTATGTGTTCGCTCACCTCCCGATCTACTGAGCCGACCTGTGACAGTCTCATTGTCACAGGTCGGCTAGAACTATGAGGTGATTGAAAAGCACTCACCTCATAGTTCTCCTTTAAAGTCCGGGAAAACTTGTCATTAACCCTTGCAGTGGCATCACTCCACACGGCAAGGGTTAAGTGCCTAGGGTTAAAAATAACAAAGTTATGCTCACTTGATCCTCAGAACCGGCTTGCTCTTAAACTGGTCCCTTCCGCCTTGCTCCCCCTCTGCGGCAGCACTCTAAGGTCCCATGAGTCATCACATTCTATACACAGTGTATGGGACGTGAGGACACCGAGGGACATACCATTGGTGTAGCGGAGGAAGAGAGAGGCGGGAGGGAGCGCTGTGAGAGCCGGAATTTGGCCCGGTATCATGCGCCTGCAATCCACTGTACAGCAGAGCTCAGATTGGAAGAGGGAGAAACAGCACATGCAGCCAATCAGTTGTATTGCAGGGCTGAAGTGCCAACAAGGGACATGGTGACAGGAGGAGAGAGCAGAGTGACAGAGATTAGCTCCTCAGTCTGCCGTTTGCCCTCTCACTGCCCATTCACAGGCTGGTGGATGGATAAGACCTGTAAGGGCCGATGCAGATGGGTGTACACCTCCGCACGGCATGCACGCCCGTAAAAATACCCCCTCCCGGGAGGGACAGATGCTGCCTGTAATTGCTTATTCTCCCCTCCCCCAGCGATCAGACTGTACATTGTAACAGGCTGCAGCAAGGACTGATCTGTGTCTGACATTTGTGAACACAGCCAAGATTATGTCATCTCTGAGCCGACATCTCAGAAAACAGATGGTGACCCACCAGATGATGCCTGAACAAAGACGGCGCCGGCATTCTGGAGGAAAAAAAAAGCAGATGAAGTCATTGTCAGGGGGAGTACTGTGATCTCTGTGGGAGGTATTGAAAACCTAAATAAACAAGTCGCGGTGCCCTGAACACAAACTTGATCCGTGCAGTCGCCCAGTTTTCTCCCGCTGAGCGCCACCATCTTGCCGCTCACAAAGATGTAGAATCCAGACTGTCAGTCACAGCTTTCACATCCAATACCAGGGGTGGGCAACTCCAGTTGTGCTTTAACTACAAATCCCAGCGTGCCTCTGGGAGTCATGCTTGTACCTGTCAGTCTTGCAATGCCTCATGGGACTTGTAGTTCCACAACAGCTGGAGTTGCCCACCCCCTGGCCTAAGCCCCTCCACCGTTTCTATGACAGCTGGCAGGACACATAGGTCAGCTCCAGGGGGAGCGCCGACAGACGGAGATGAGGGATGCATGGTGACTTTTCACAAAAAGTCAAAATTTGCACATCAGTGAGAGCGCGGGCTTGTATACGCATTTTGGGGAAATTAAAACCGCCGAGGGAACAGACGCTGAAGGAACAACGTTTATAAGATCGGGAAATGGAAAAGGTTTTTTCGCAACGGATAAAGTTCAATGTAGAGAAGAATATTTCCCCCTTCGTCCTCTTCTATATCACAACCCAAAAATGGCGGGAAATCCGCTTCACTGACCATTCAGTGTCATAGTTTGTGGATTTCAGGGCCACATTCACACGGCTGCCTTCAGTTCCACCTGCACAGGATCCATGCACAGAGCGATCCCTCCTGATCAGAACGCATGTCATCATTGTGCCTGTCCAGACCTATGGGGAGTCGATGAGCATTTGGATGAGTACGTGTACTCACCCAAATGCTCCGATACCTTCCCCGATACCGGAATATCCGGTCAAAGGGAGATTTCCTCTGACCGGCAGTGCTGTAGGGGAACATGGAGCCGGTTTCTAGGGCAATCAGGAAGGCGGACAGCGAGTAATGACCCCACCCCCGGCTTCCTGATTGGCGGGGAAGCTGGCTCCATGCTGATTGGCTGGGAAGCTGGCCTCCCGGCCAATCAAGCCGGCCGAACAGCCAACTCCTTGCTGGTTGACTGGGAAACGGCATCCTGGCCAATCAGCGTCGAGCCGGCCGCACAGCCGACTCTTTCCTGGTTGACTGGGAAACGGCATCCTGGCCAATCAGCATCGAGCCGGCAGCACAGCCGACTCCTTGCTGGTTGACTGGGAAGCCGGCCTCCCGGCCAATCAGCATCGAGCCGGCAGCACAGCCGACTCCTTGCTGGTTGACTGGGAAGCCGGCCTCCCGGCCAAATCAGCATTGAGCCGGCCGAACAGCCGACTCCTTGCTGATTGACTGGGAAAGCGGCTTCCCGGCCAAATCAGCATCAAGCCAGCTGAGCGGCTGGCTCAATGCTAATATGCTGGAAAGCTGGCTTCCCAGCCAATCAGGAGGCGGGCCATTACTTGCCGCTCAACTTCCTGATTGGCCGGGAAGCCGGCTCCAGGCTGATTGACTGGGAAGCCGGTTTCCCGGTCAATCACAATCGAGTCGGCCAAACAACATGGAGCCGGCTTTCTGGGCAATCATGAAGTCGGGCGGCATGTCATTCATTACCCGCCGCCTGGCTTCCGTATTGCCCGGGAAGCCGGCTCCATGACAGCAGAAGCATTGGTATAGGTACTCGGTATCGGCAAGTACCGAAAACAACATATCGGTACTCGATTCTGAAAAAGCGGTATCAGTGCATTCCTACTGCTACCCATAGACTAACATTGGGCTTCCGATCAGATCTGCCTGAAAAAGTGACAGGCGTGTGAAAGGGGCCGAATAAACATTATTTCTATAAAGATGAACCTTGTGTCCTGATACCGCCAAAATCATGCAGTCACGTGTCCAACCTTTTCCTTTTGTTGTCTATGGTTCATATTACATTTCTAATGACTCTTCAGTTGATGGTCTCTCTTCAATGTCGTGCTGATCAGCAGGGCACGCAGTGGAAGATGTTGCCATCAAAGAACAAACCTGGGTGACAAAAACCACTTACCCTAACAGTAAGGCTACCCCCCCCCCCCACCCCCAGTGCAAGGGTTAAGTGCTCCTTTTGTTCACGGGGCTCACCGGATCCCCAGTCTTGTAGCGGTCAGTACTCGCCTCTCTCCCCCTCTGCTCTAGGCTAAGGAATGTCCTTCAGCATCCTCCTGTCTAATGCTGATCAATGGAAATGCATAAGACATGACATCAGCGGTCCTTAGCCCACCGGTGCCTGTGAGAGAAGAGGCTGCGGGGACCGGTCTTGCAACCCGGAAGGACCGAGAATGCTTTATATGAGCCAATAGACAAAGTGAGCACTTAACCCTTGCAGAGCAGGGGTGGCCCCAATGCAAGTGTATGTCTTTTTGTTTGCCCGGAGTTAATCTTTAAAGGAAACCCTTCCTGAGCGAGACATGAAGGCTATCGCTACATCATTTTACAGTTGTCATGTTTATCCTCTTGTTTCAATGCGTTGCATCCCTTACCTGGAACAAGCATCCAACAATGATGTCTTATTCCGACGCTATAGCTATGCCTATGTTTCAGGTCAGTGACTCGAACAACATTGAACCCAACGGGCCAGTGAACTAGTTGGACCATCAGCATCTTTAGAAAGGAGATGATGGAGTTGATTTACGGTTCTCCTTGCACTGGCTTCCAATAGCCCAAAGGATACAATCCTAAATATTAACAATGACTTAGGCCTCATTCACACACAACGCGAGCAAAATTGTCTATTGCGTATATAAGAGCGTATATAAGTGAACTATTTGCATTCCCAGAATGCATCATTCCTAATAGAAATTTGAATGAACTGTACGCACGTACACGGGTATATGCGCGTATATACGCGTAAACATGCGTATGTGCGGAAAATACACAGAAATACACTGCCTGGACGCATCTCGGTTCCATTGTTTTTGCGCATGTTTACGCTACGCAAATATACGGCCCCATACGCAGCTATGTGTATGGATCCCTTTATTTGCATATGGTACAATACGCGCGTATATATGGACGGCATTGTGAATGAGGCCTTACAAAGCCATCCACCACTCTGCCCCCGGATATATCTCAAACCTTGTCTCAAAATATCACCCTAACCGTCCCCTCCGCTCTTCCAAAGATCTCCTGCTTTCCAGCTCCCTCTTCAACTCCTCCCATGCTCACCTCCAGCACTTCTCTAGAGTCTCTCTACCCCTTTACCCCAACCTGTCCGTCTGT